CTTGTACATTGCTGGTGGGACTGCAAATTGGTGCCGCCAATTTGGAAAGCAGATTGATTTCTAAGAAGGCTTCTGAGAACCAGACCAGCATAAGAGGCCAGCTACTGTCTCGCCCTAGGGGCAGGTTGATCTACTCTCTCCAAGGCAGGCACTGTCTAAGAAAGCCCCTGAGGCCTGATTAGATAATAGCTCTACCTTTGGCAACTCCCTTCACAGAACTCAGCAGAAACTTTACATTGGGAGTACACCAAACTGGTCCAAAAGGACAAAATATCAACTGACAGTTTGTCCTAACCCACCCCACTTCACACAGGTGAGAAAGAAAGCTGGAGTCTTATATCAAATGGCCTTCATCTTAGAGTGGTCCAACTGGCAGCTCAGAGAGCAATACAAAAACAGGACCGGGTTAATACTCTGACTCCCCACTTTGTTAGTATATAACTCAGAAAGAATTGGAAAAAAAAAATGTTGGACATAGAGACCTCCCAATCTGGCCAACTATTTTGACTACTTCAGGGGAGATGGTTCCTTCATTCTTAAGATTTGGGGTTTTTAAAATTCTTTTTCTTATTTTGAAAATCTTACACTCCAATAAAATAGAAGACATTAAAGGCATCGACAAATTTCTTAAGTCATATGATTTGCCCAGATTGAGTCAGGAAGATATACACAATTTAAACAGATGAATATCAAGTGAGGAAATAGAAAAAATCATCAAAAGCTTACCAACCAAGAAAAGCCCAGGACAGGATGGATACACAGTCGAGTTCTACCTTTAAAGAAGAACTAATACCAATACTCTTCAATTTATTTCAGTAAATAGAAAAAGAGGCAGTAATTTCAAACTCATTCTATGAGGCCAAAATCACCCTGATTCCAAAACTAGGCAAAGACACATCAAAGAAAGAAAACTTCAGACCAATATCTCTAATGAACATACATGCAAAAATTCTCAATAAAATTCTGGCAAATTGAATACAAAAACACATCAAAAAGATTGTGCACCACGATCAAGTGGGATTCATCCCAGGGTGCAAGGGTGGCTGAACATATGAAAATCAATAAATGTAATTCATCACATCAATAGACTTAAAGATAAGAATCATATGATCATCTCAATAGATGCAGAAAAAGCATTTGATAAAATACAGTACCCCTTTATGTTACAAACACTAGAAAAACCAGGGGTAACAGGAACGTATCTCAACACTGTAAAGGCTATCTATGCTTAGCCTCAGGCCAACATAATTCTAAATGGAGAAAAATTGAAGGCATTCCCTCTAAAAACTGGAACAAGACAGGGATGCCCTCTTTTACCAATTCTATTCAACATAGTTCTTGAAACACTGGCCAGAGCAATTAGACAAATGAAAGAAATCAAAGGGATATGCATAGGAAAAGAAGAACATAAATTAGCACTATTTGCTGGCGATATGATTCTATACTTAGAAGACCCAAAAAACTCCATGAGAAAACTGCTACAACTAGTAAATAAATTCAGCAAAGTAGGAGGATATAAAATCAACACCCATAAATCAAAGGCATTTCTGTATGTCAGTGACAAAGCCTCTGAGAAGGAAATGAGGAAAACTACCCCATTCACAATAACCTCAAAAAAAAAAAAAAAATAAGATACTGTAAGGGTCCGGCGAGCGACAGGGGAAGAGACCAC